GTGACTGTGTACCCAAGTTCTTTAAGCAGGTACAGCAGCAAAGTGAAAACTGCTATCTTAGACTAGCCACATGATAGATGGTAGATTTCCTGGGCTCCAGAGTTTGTTTCTTCTACCAGCTTTCTGGAGTAGTTTACTCCCCACTTCATGCTGCTCTATCAGATGAGTAACATGTTCTGCCAGAGTCCTGAGCTCAGTAAAGGAGTATTAGTGCTAGTGCAACACAAACTATGAAGAGCACAAATCCAGGCTTACTGTGTGCAAAGGTGTTGTACATTGCCTATACACCAAAAATTTAAATAACATTCTGAATATGGGTTGTTTTCAGATGAGCATTCATGGGAATCAAGTCCGAGTTAAAGTCTTCTACACCATTCCAGATATGCAAGGAAATACACTGGTGGTCAGCAAAGACATCTGCATTTACTGCGAGTTATATCATTATTCTTGAAAGGAACAAGAACAGTCCTTCCACTTCTATGGTGCGAACAGTTTTTCTTTCTCATGCTCCATACAACAACCATAAGCTCATCATAGATTATCTACTTTGGAAGAAATTCCCCAAAAGCATTACACAGTCTGGTGCTGAAGGTGCAGTGGTGGCAGTGAAGAGTTTAACTTGTCTCAGACAACTTGTTCTTTAATTTTTGGTACATGGTTCCATCCTCAAGTCCCTTTTCTTCAGTTCCTGTGGCACAGTCGAACAAAAGGTTTTATTCTGCAATAAAACAGTATAATTCATTGACAATACACTTGTGTGAGTTTCTACTTGGGACTAAGAAGAGGATCTAAACTCCCAAGTCAATGCCCTCTCACAGGTAGGAGTGACAACAAGCCTCCGCTAAACCCCGTTTAACCAGTAGATGGCAGAACTTTAATCTTTGTTTTGCTGCTGGAAACGAAGTTCAGTAAACATTACTGCAATTTTCTGAAGGTTCATTTAAAGAAAGACAGTTAACTAAATTAGTGCTAAGAACAGAAGCAAATTAAACATATTTATTAAAATATGCCGACCACAGAATTTCTTTTGGAGGATGCACAATCTTCTAATTAAAGAGGGAGATGCAGTAGGCCCTCAGTTCAAAAACCAGAATCTGCTATGGTATTTCTGAGAGGTCTTCTGGGAGCTGTCAAACCCTCTATTTTCAGACTTGTACTCCTATTGCACACTGACAATTTGAACAGCTTATAACAGTCATGAATAACAGTGAAAGCTCACCATGAACTCCTTCATGAGCCACCAAACATATTTTCCTGTACTCAGGATAAGCTATAGGCCATAACCTGCAAGCTACCATCTCACCAGTTCTTCTGTTCATTCTGAGATGGCTTCCCAGAGTCAGGAAAACTTTTACTGAGTGTTGAACGCATTTGAATATATGAATTCATATGTTTTGTAGAACATAGTATGTTAAATTATATACCCTTAGGTGCTGCTTATGGGGACACAGCACTCCAGAGCAAACCTAATCAGGGCTTTTCATTACAGAGAGCCAGAAAAAGCAGGACACATGCAGACACTTATTTTTGCTGACAACTCCAAAGCTCTGAGTTCTCTAGGCTGCCAGCTCAAGGTTATTGCCTCCCTGTCAGACCTATCGTAGCCCAGTTTTGAGACTGATTGCAGCAACCCTGTGATTGCAGCAATCCTGTGATGGTTGCTGCCTCAGAGATCAGCTGAGCCTGCATGGAAGATTGCTACACCACTGAAATCTACTGCTGTATGTTAAGGCTTTATTGACTGTAATAAGCTGAAAACAATCTCTTGGCAATTCAAAGCATTTGTAACTTCTTGATAGGGTCAGAAAGAATGAAATATATATTGAGACACACAATAGCAAAGTCAGCAATTGAACAGATATTATGTGCTCCCTGGACTTCTAGGACATTGGCAAATAATCTCAAAGAACACTCCAGAAGGAATCTGGTATTAGACCAAGCTCCTTGGAAATGGATTTCAGTAACACAGAAAGGACAAAGGAATGACACACAGTTCCTCATCTGGTGTGAAATAATTTCATGAAAAACCCTAAAAGCACTGTAGGATGCACATGACTGCAACATGAAGGACATTGTTATTCCCATTTGCATCAATTTTCACTGCAGGAACAGAGAATAATTTTCTTTAATCCTGATTTAGCACAATGCATGATTGTCCAAGAAAACTGTTGGACATCCTAGAAATCTGATCCAAAACCCAAGAACCCATTTCAGTAAGCATCTTCCTACAAACAGTGGATCTAATATAGTTCTTCCCTCCTGGCAGTCTTGGGAGAAAGGCAAACCCACAGGTTTTTAGTCATGTGCTAAATAAGACACATTATTGTAAACTCAACCCCAGTGACAATAATACTCAAATGCTCAAAATACCAGCAATAACATTCAGACAGCATTGCCATAAACCCTTTAATGAACAGCCAATCCCATGATAGCTTCTGTGTCCTTACAAAGAACCAGTACAGGCTGAAGCAGTTCTGACTCTCTTTCTGGGACACAGGATCTTCCCTTCTAATATCAACTCAGGGGCCTTCCCTCCCCACAGAACAGAAAGTACAAATCTTGCAGATATTCACTAGGAAAAGTCAGAGCTGATGTATGGATTTCCCATTTCTGTTGCTGACCTGCTATTTTCTCTAGTCTTTGCTTTTTATCCAAGAGATTTTAGGTCAATCAGATTTTGCATCTATTGCTCTGGTATCTAGGTACGGAGGATTTTATTAATGATTCAAAACTTAGTGATATACATGGGCCTTGGAAGTCTGTTAGAAACAGCAACAACAACCAAATTAAAATTTTTAATTTTTTTTTTTTAAAGGAAGTGACCCAGAGAAGCATTACAGGACTTAATCTCACAAAGAGGAACGTATTTCAAATGTTTTTATCACTATTAATTAAACATATACAAAAATAAAAACTTCTACCAAATAATGAAAGCTCTAAGAGGTTTTAGAAATTCGCTGTCTTTTCAGACCATCAGAGTCATCTATTGTTTTGTAGTGTCATGTAGAAACATGGGCTTCCACCTTGATGAGTGAAAAGCCAAACTACAAACATGACTGTGTTCTTCCAAGCTCAGTCTTAGGAACCTCTCTGGCCAAAGGTTTAAAAATAATACTGTGAATTAATGTCCAGTTCCATGTTAACTATTTGGTAAAGCAAATTGTAAATTCTAAAAAGCAATACAATTTTAAAAGAACTTAGTGCAAGTGAATTATTCCATGTGGTATTTATGCTGGACAGAAACCAGGCCAACCTGGAAGAGATTTTGAGCAATAACTCAAAAGTACTGTATGTTGTAGATTACAGGCTATTTAGAGGTATAAGTTAGAGAATAGCAGGTTTAACTACAAATGGTCCTAGAAGTCTCAACTGTTCCAGTGAAATCAGTAGCCGTATGTCAAAGCCAGGATTTCCATATTAATTAAAAAAAAATCCTATTCAATGTATCTTGTTTGCTAGATCCTGGGGTCCTTCCCACTGATTTCTTCTGGTCTGACACTTCCAGCTGGACAGTGTATGTACGTAGGAGAATCTGACAGCATAGGTCAGTATCCAGGATTTCAGCCCACAAACATGAGACATCATGGGCATTTTCTAGGTTTCATCCTTCTTTACAAGTAGAGCTCAGCACTTCCATTTTCACTCACCTGAGACTTGCTCCTCTGCAGCAAAGCCAGCAAGTTTGCTCTTAGTCTAAGCTTTCTTCAGGTAAAAAAACCCAAACATTCGAGACCTTGTTTTACTCCAACTGTCAGTGGTTAGCATGTCTTCTAGGCAGTGCCCTCCAAGACCTTACCAAGACTTGCAGAATATTTACATTCCTTACATGCAATTCCTCTTTACTATGTATACAATTATTTTCCTGGAATTAGATAATTTTTCGTTTACTTAACTGTTAAGCAAAGTTTCCTGTCTGACCATCCAGGAATCACTCTGGCAGGCACACTCAAGAGCATGTGTGCTGGAACAGAGGTCACTTCACAATGGGTGGCTCCAGTGAGCTGAGAGGTTCCCTGTTTGACTCCTACACACGCCACTCTCACCTAGTCAGACCAGGTTTCCCATGACAGAGTCTCAGACTCCCAGAGCAAAGCAAATCCGAGGCTTTTATACCCTCAGTCTAAGCATGTGAAAGTCTGGGGTCTTCCAGCTGAACCATTGGCTCCTGCTGTGTCTCTCAGTGTCTGCTCACCTATCTGGGCCACAGGGTCCTGCGCCCTTTGTTGGGTCAATGCCAATTCCTAGCCTCTTCTGCTCCTGCTACCTAGAGCTCAATGTGCAGCTCCCACTGCAGCTACCCCAACTACTTGCACTGAATGTATTCCTCAATATTTTTCAGGCTCAAACTGGACACTATTCTACTGGCAACACGCTGGACACTGATAAAGTCTCCATGGCACTCAGCTATGGGGGTGATGTAAATTATGTCCTCAATGATGTCCTCTACTCTGATATTGTTCTTTAACACTGATGCCATGATATTGATCTTGACCAGCTTGTAAGTAACAGCCTGTTTCTGCAGCCAGTCAGCTCTCCTCCTGCCAAGAGAAACAACAGGACGTCCCACTCCTATTGCACTACCTCGAGTATGGGGATGCAATCCTGTGTGTCAGGTGGTGACCCGAGCGACAGCTGTTCGCTTCTGGGCCCGGCCTTCACTGACAGCACCTCTGGGCTTGAGAGCAAGCGCTGGGGCTGTGAGCACGTGGTGCATCTACAGCCGGCACAAGGCACATCACTGCCCACACCTGCTGCCCATGTCCCAGTGCCCGTCTTTCCGATTACTCCCACCGCACCAGATCTGGCCTTGACCTCGGTACCACCCTCCCACCCACCCTTCCACTGTCACAGCGCTCCCTGTCCTCCTCCTACATCCAGGGAAAGGGACTGGCCGAGGAAAGCGGCGGCTCTATGCGGGGCCAGGGCTGCGGGCGAGAGGGGTGCGCCCGCCAGCCCCACGTCCCCGTCGCCCGGCCGGCCATCCGCTCACTCGTCCTCCCTCCCTCCCCGCCGCCGCTCCAGCCTTGGGCCGCGGGGCGGAGCCCGCCGCCACCGCCCCTTCCCTCTCTGTGCGCCCCTGACGGCGAGCGGCGGCGGCGGTCTGTGCTCCTCACTCCCCGGTGAGTGTGGGCCCCGCCGCCCCGCTCCTCTCCCGCCCGGCGCCGGCGGCTCGGGTGCCTGGCAGCGCTTCCCCGGCCGCGGGGTGCCCGTCCCGGCGGCCAGGCCACGGGGGAAGGTTGTGGGGCGGAGGGGCGCCCCTCGGGACAGAATCGGGACGGGTGCGGGCCCGGGCGGAGGGCGGGGATCGGCGGCTAGCAGGGCCCGATGGCAGGACGGGGAATTCTGACGTCTCCCGGCTCCGGCCCCCGCGGTGAGCCGTTGGATCCAAGAGCCGTTGGATGCTGCGGAGGAAGGCGGCTGCGGCGGAGCAGCCCCGCGGGGCACCATCAGAGCAGGGGCGGGCTGTGCGGGCCCGCCGCGGCTCCGGGGCCCGGCCGGCGAAATCTCCAGCACTGGCTTGGGGCCGGCTCACAGCCAGTACAGGGACAGCTTTGGCGGAGAAGAGACAGAGGAATAGATTTAGTTCGAGAAGAGCGGAAGAGAAATTGTGCTGCCCTGTCTTCATGTAGGTGAAACTTTAGCATTGGTTTTCCTCCTGGAACTGCTCGAGCCTTGTCTGTTGGTGTTTCAGTAGTATCTAAATGGTGCAATGTGAAGTATACGTATCAACCACACAGCAACACCCCTGTGTTGGAAAAAACCTCAGTAGATCTGCAACATAATTGGGACAGGGAAGGGATGGAAGAAAATAATTGGACGGTGATGTCTATAAAGTGTTGGGTTTTAATAGTTTTAGGTGACAAAATAATCTGGTTCATGTTCATGGCACAGACAGCAGGTGCAGGTATTCTGTAACAATACTGGAGGTCATAGCACTGATGGGTATTTGCCTTTTAATTTAATGTGACTTAGGACTGTGGCTGTGAAAATGCCGAGTTTCAGTAACTGGATCAGATATATGTTTGGATTAGCCCCTGTTAATGTTCAGTACGTTTCTGCGTTTCATAATATCACCACAGCTCCCATTTATTTTTTAACTTGAGGTTGTACTTTGATATTTAGTTTCCACCTCTAAAGCTAGTAAATCTGGGGGGAGGGGGATAAAGGGGAAGACGGAGAGATCTGTACTTTAATATTTTTTAGTATCAGCAGGAAACCTGGTCTAAAACAGAGGATTCTCTCTCCAAATAATTGGAATTTAATTAATATATCTGAGCACTCAGTGCTGTTGCTATTGTTCCAACTGGATTTATCAATCTGCAAAACCGAAATAAAGGAAGACCACCCTAGAGAAATATTAACACTGGAATGTTTATTTAGTAATGCTTTGCTTAAAAGCAATTGTGCTTCATCAGAATGTCCTAATAAACTTCTGGGGATTGTTACTGCTTCAAAGAAAGTAAGAGATATGTAATGGGCATAGAGCAGGAAGTGCAGCTGAGTTTTGTACCTTCCAGGATCTGTGGTATGTGTGAGGATTTATTATGAAAATTATCAATATTTTACTCTTCTCAGACTTTATAAGATAGAGGACATTCCTGGAGAAGCTTTCCATGTAATAAGAAGCCTGATAACTTAGGAGTGCTTTACAGAGTACATCTTGCAGACTATTGCTGAATTGAAAAGACCACAGGGCTTTCAAACTGCAGGTTTTTGTCATATTTTAATTTAGCACCTATCTTTCTCTCTGGTTGTCTTTGGCCAGACAATGATACACTCCAATTTTGATACTATTTGTTTTTATAGTAATAGTGGAAGAGCCAAAACAATAAATGCAGAAAAATAGAGAAGAAATAACATTTAAATAGTAAGAAATGGAACAAATCTCTTTTGCCAGTGTTTTCCAGCAGAGTCTCACTGTAGGATTGAGAGTAAGAGCTGGAAATTTGCTCCCTCCTTGGAGTTACAATACACTTAAGAAAGATGTGAATTGAGGAGTGGTCCCTTTGTGTCTTGAAATATAGGAAAAGAGAGGAGTCTTAATTGTGTGAAAATGAAATAATTTTTTTTCAGGGATTTTGCTTTCACTGCTGCCTTAGGGATGGATTAATTCAGAAGATTTCCTCTAGGTATTTGGCACTTCCTTGAAAGAACTGGGACATCCCACAGCTATAGATATGTATGTATGTGGGACTTCAATACTTGTAAAAGAGGGTGTTCATTTTGGTTGTTCGGGTTTCTTTTTTTTTTTTTTTTTTTTTCCTACCCTTTCTATATGAAAACTGTTACAAAAAAGGTGATTTAAAATTGTTTAGTGGAACTTAATTTGCCTCCCCAGGGAGCTTGGCCAGTAAACTCTGCTAACAGTAGTTTGAGTTCATGAAATTGTATCAGACGCACACTTGTTGTCCTTACAGACAGAAGATGTGGGTGTTTGAAACCTGGGTTCATCTACACGAATAGTTGAATGGCTGCTGAAACTGCAGGCAGAAGTTTTTAGTGTGGGAAAATTATCTTTATTTCCAGACAACAAATTCAGGATTTGTCTTGAAATGGTGTGAAAAGTTAGGACTCCACAGTGTCAGATTATTTCACAACTGAAGTAATCCTCTTATCAGTTTTTCATCCTGAAAGGATCCTTCCACCTACATATCTTCGTTAGCTCTGAAACAGTTCAGATTTCAAGTTGCAGAAAAGGAGTTTTCAAGGTGCAGAGAGTGCAGTTTATAGAGCTGGTATAATGGTAATAGCATGAGTACAGAGCTGATTCACAATACTCTCATTTTGTTTGCCTTTCCCATGCACCTCTGCTGCATTTCTTCACCCTTCACAGGAGTCTTTTGAAACTAACAGACCAATACTGAGATGTCTTTTAATCTTGCCTTTTGACATTGAACCAAAATTTCAGACCAAATCTTTGTACACATGCTCTGTATTCCACATTTCTTGCAGCACTTCCATGTTGGTTTTGTGTTTTTTCTAACTAACACTGAAAGCTAGTTCTTTGTTAAAACTAGTCCAAGCTGCATATTTGTTAATGAACAGCCCAAGAGTACTAGCATGGGGTAAAAAAGCAGCAAGTTTGTATAGAGGTAGGAAATAGGCTAAAGTTCAGAGCTCCTCTCTCAGGAGGTGGGAAAAAAATTTCAACACTTCATTTTTCAGTGTTTGGTAGTCTCCAGATAAGCTTCCTTTTGTTCTTGGGTGTAATGCTGCTCATTTTCCTGTAGCAAAAAAGAAAATTAATCTCTGCTTTTATCTGGGACACTCAGTGTGCTGAGAAAGCATTCCCTTAACACTTATGCCTGCTTAATTATGATCTGGATTTTGTTAAGACTAGATTTCATTTCAGAGGCTGTCTGAGAGCACATGAGAGCACACTACATATGTGTGGTTGCCTGGATTACCAAAGACTGGTGAGATCTATATGAGAGAATTGTTTTGATTCTAAGCTATAATACCTGTGTTGAGGTGAGAGAGGAGGTAGCATTTGGCTTTCTGAAGGGATGATGTGAAGGAGTTTAGATGCCCAGTTCCAAAATGTAGATATTAAACTTCCAGCTCACTTGGAGCTGGAGTTACTTAAGACCTCAGTGTTTGATTTCACAAAACTTGATCTCTGACCTAAAGTTTCAGTTCCAATATGTGCAATACAGAATTGCTAACAAAGTGGAATGGTCAGAATACTTAGGACAGCCTATGAAATACACAGATTATGGGGCTATGCAATTAGTGACCTGTTTAGTGTGTTGGAAGTTTAGCACTTTATGGATCTGAATAGGTATTTTAGCATTGCAGTCAAAAGTTTCAGGTGGCCAAAGAAAGCAGGAGCATCTGCAATGCAAAGCTCTGTTTGTTCTAGTACAGTGTTTCTCTTGAGCATTAAAGTTGAAAGTGGTTCTCTGAAACTTTGCCTAGAGAAACCCTCCTTTTTCTATTACTGCATTTTTTCCAGTGTGGGATACTGATGTACTTTATACTGGCAGAATAGTTGCTCAGTCATCAAATTGTTAGCGGACTTCTCTTTAAGGATCTATATGTAATGATGGACCTTTCTATGTAATGAAGAAACACAGAGATTCTTTCTCGAGTTTCTTTAACCACTGAAATCTCCTCAGTGTCTGTTAGCAGCAATGAGCAGTGTACATTTGTTACATAGTGGCCTTATCTGCCACTGGCAGAGTGTTAAATAATAAGAGCTTCTCTAAATCAAAAGAAGAAACCTGTGAGTATTGCACCAGTAGTTGCACTCATCTGTGCATAATTATACATCTGTGAATAATTATAGCATTTTATATTTTTATAAAACAAGACTCTGCTTGTTCAACTTCTAGTGTTGAAGTCTATCCAAATGCTGGGGGCATGTGTGGCCTTGAGGTGTTTTTTGCTTATGGTTTGTTTGTTTGGATTTTGCAGTTTTTTTGGAGGGTAGGTGGGTTTTTTTGTTGTTGTGTTCTCATGTGTATGGTCATCTCTAGCAGTCTGTTGATTTCCCCAGTGTAACAAAAACATTTTTGTTAGGCAGTTTGAATATTTTAACTAAAAAAAATTCCTACCACATAGATGTATTTATTAGGATTTTCTTTCTAAACTGACTTGAATTATGGATGGATTTATTTAGTGAAGTTTTACTACTTTAGACACCTGATTGATAATGAAGATGTTGCCTTATCATATCAAAAGTGCTGGCTTTTGTCAACATGCTTAACATGGCCATTCTCCCTCCTTGGTTTTTGGGTAAGGTACACATGCACAGAACATCATGCAATTCCGTTATGATGGAAGTTCCTACATGCTGGACCTGCTTAGAGATCTCTAGTCATGGCTATGCCAACTATAACTTAGGTAAACTGGAATTAGTCATCAACTTTTGCAGTGGAGGCTCCCTGTTGAGTAGAATGTAAAACCATGAGAAAAGCTATGTAAATTTTAGAGGCTCAGGGCAATTATTAATTGCTCTTTAACAAAGAGCAATAGCCATTAATTAAAGAAATGCTGTTCAGCTATATGTAACTGCTTGTAATGTCACAAAGTGCACGCTTAATGTTGTGATGAAGAATTTATAACTCAGTAGCTCTGCTGTGGGCTCTGCTTAGATTTTTTAAGTTGCTTGCTTTTG